GTTTATGTGAAGCCATTTATCGATGCAAGTGCAATGAAAGTGATGGTTACAAGGGAGCTCTCTTAGTTCAGCTCCGTCTTCATATTCACACAGACAAATGCAACATTCCTGCAGAAGAATGACAAGAAAAAACAAGGCCTTCTCAATCTTAACACTTTAAAGAAATGGCTTATTATCAAACACACATAAGAAATGGTTATATATCAGGAGTACCGAGTCTTCTGAAGAAAGCGAGCGTTCGATGGGTGAATCTGTTCCACATTCCGTCATTATTCCTCGATTTGTAGTTTCGCCTGGAAGCTTTCCATCGTTGCCAATCTTTCTAAACCTGAATTTAGGCATTTGATCTATGTCCTTCTTCGATGCTCCCTCCTGTTTTGCACCAATTCGGAGTTGGGTTTTCACTGATCCTCTTTAATGAAAGAACGGGTTCTAAACTATATAATTGTTATGGGGATCCAAGTAGAAGAGAGCTTACCTCGTCGGCAACAGCATATAAGATTGCAATTATACATGGAAGACAGCAGCAAACAGCAAGGCCCACAACACAAGCCAGTGCAACACAGAATACAACAAAGAAAACATCGAAACCAAGAAATATGATACACAGCCTGCATGTGCAAAAAAAAAAAAACACCTGAGTTACAAATTCAAACAAACAATTCCAAATGATACAACTTCCAAAGAAACAAAGCATACCAATAGAGCTGAGGAGCGTCACTAGATAGTGTTTGGCCTCCCGCAGATACCCAGTAGAATCCGATTACCCACCAGATGAACGAGAACATTGTGTTGGCTGATTCAAGATGCTTTGCAGAATTACTGAGACCATTAAACATCAACGATCAACAAGGGTCAAGAAGGATCGAAACGGCCTAAGCTATCTCTGAGACTCTAAAACGAGATGGTAAGCTGATGATATCAATATTCACCAAAAAGAAAGCTAAACAATATCACAGTTCAATATCTTCTTACCTAAATGTGGACACGAGAAGTTGCATTTTGATTCACAGATACTATAAGCATCAACTAACATTAACCTAGAAACCAAGATTCCCCACTGATCAAAATGGATCATATAGAATCGATACCTCAAACAAACAACAAAGAAGGATGAAAATGGCCTAAACTATCTCTAAGACTGACACAAGATCAGTTCCAACCATTTTCTAGATCAGGCTTGCACTTTTAAACATTACAAGAACATGAGCTGATATCAATATTCACCCAGAAGAAAGCTAAACAATACCACATTTCAATATCTTCTAACCTAATGGGGATAGAGAAGTTGCAGTTTGATCCACAGATAAAGATACGAAAAGCAATACCTAGTATTTCCTGTATCCTCCAATTGAGCTAACGAAACGTACTGCTGCGAGGAAGCAGGAGACGACAGGTGGCGCGAGTCTCTCCTTCGCCGACACCTCCTCCTCCTATACTCAACGCAGACACACGCGATATGAAGCCCGCACTGAACACCGTACCCTACAACCCAAACTCTCAACGGCACATTAGGCCCTTCGTCGCGGCTGAGGATCAGAACAGCAACACCGATCGCCACGAAAGCAAGATTCCATAGGATGTCAAGGAACACCACTGGCTTCGAATACGCCCAATCGCTCTGCCTCTCTTCCAATTGCTCGGCGGCGGTTTCTCTCACCAGCACCGACGGCTCTCGCATCATCCTCCGGCTTCCGGCGTGGCGAAGGAACCTCGCTGCCTCTCTGAGACCTTGTCGTCTAGCCGATCGTTGGATTCCGTTTTCTCCGTCGACGCTCGCGGCTCGCGAGACGACGGATGGGAGTAACGGCGTTGTGTCGATGATTCCTTCGGAATTGGCTCTACCGACGCGGGAAGAAGGTAGAGACGGGGCTGAGTCAGGTTCCCTCGTGTTCGTTGACATTTTTGAAGAGCTTTCTTGATTCTTCAATTTCGATCGAAAGGATCGCGACTTGCTCCAAAAGGTTTTGGAACGTACAAAATTTCCAGAAAGGTGAGAGAGAGAGAGAAACAAACAAATAACGTGAGGGAAATTTAGAAATATTTATCACATATAGTCCCTAGACTCTCTATTCCTCTTGTTATATAGTTCCTACACAATCTCTTCTCTTGTTTTATAGTCCCTATACTCTCCTCTTTTCTATTAGAAAGCCCAACCTGACCCAAAGAAACAAATTAGACAGCCTAATCAACTCAACAGGGATGTTCAATAGTCCCTACTCAATAAACTCAACACAAATGTGCAATAGTCCGTATTAGGTCTGGCCATTTTATCCACACTCGAGGACCCGAACCAAAATCCACCTAAAATGTTCTGGTTCGCGACAAAATCAGATATGAGGATCGGAATGTCCAGGCGTAGTCCATATCTTACACTTTTTTTTTATGTTCTACGTTATTTACATTTTAACCATTTTTATATCATTCTCTGAATACCAAATGATCTAGACTACTCCTAAAAATAACAACCATTTAGCAAGCAAAAAACAGTTATTTTCTTTTTATTTACGACTCTAGCTTGTTTCATAAACTTTTTGAAAACTATTAGTGAAAAAAGCAATTGTAATCACTATGTAATTGTGGTAAAAAAATTCTGCTCCAAATTTTTTTTGACAAATTAAGGTTTCATGGCTCATTTATCTTGCTAAGTACACTCAAAGGGACCTTGTTAACTAATTTAAAAGTTTGAGAAACTCCAAAACGATAAGAAAAGTCTTTTAACTATGTCCATTGAGTGCACAAACTTTTCCTCTGATGTAATTCATTATCGTTTTTGAGAAAATTTTATTTCTTTCGTATTGCTCACAAGATATCCATGGGTTAACTAGAGCTGAAATCGCTGATCATCCGTCAAGGACTTTATCATTGTGTTGTGACATAATTTTTAGATTTTATTATATATTTCTGATTTTTGGGTTTGTTTTGATTTTTAGTTTTTAGCTTTTGATTATTAATTTTATAGTTGTTGTATAGATTGCTTTCTATATTTTTAAATTTTAATTGTTTTTTTTTTAAAGAAAATTCTTAAATTTGATTAAAACTTTATTTAGTTTTCGAAAGTACTATCTTCTATTCTATTAAAATAGAGTCATTTCTTTTATCTACTGATATAAGTTGTCACTTAAATTTGGACCCTTTCTAAAGTGTTACAAATATGTAACACAAGCCATATAATTAATTGAACCGCATTACTTAAATTAAACCGATGGTTATTTATGGGATATAGTCTTGGGCTTACTTTTGTTTTTAGAACAAATTATATAGTTTGTTTTTTGGGTTTAGTATTAAGGAAACATTCCAAAAAATATTGAATAAACTTTCGATCTTAATAGATCAAAAAATCATTTTTAGACCCAAAAGGTATTTAATATTTTTAACAACACAAAATTGTCTATTATTAATCATTTATTTAAATCATGTACTTTAAAACATGTTAATGTATTTTTTATTTTAAATAACAATCACTTTATTTTGATAAATTTCAATGGTAACTTTTAAATAATTTATTGTTTATTTTTCTTAAATAATTTACTGACTTAAAAAAATGTAAAACAAAACCAAAAACCAAATCTAAAAACAAAAATCAAAACCAAAAGATGAAAACACAAGTTATATTTTTTTGCCTTTTTTATTTACAAAATAAACTATTGCAAATTGTTTTTTGTCATCTTTTCAGTTTTAAAGTAGATGTTCGATTATTTAGGATTTATTTGTTGGTAAATCAGTTCAAACTAACTCAACAGATCTAAAAATTAAAAACACAAATCAAAAGCTGAAAAATCAAAAATAAAAACTTAAAAACTAAAAACCAATAACCAAAATCTAAAACAAAATCTAAAAATAAAAACTGAAACTAAAAACTAATGAAAAACAATCATCACCACAAATTTTGGTGAACTGATTTTATACCAAAACATTTTTTTAAATTAAGACAAAACCCAATTATATAAATTTTTAATCATAAAAATTTCCGCGCTTTCAAGCGCGGGTCAAAATCTAGTATATATTAAAACAGAAGTCATGACTTGATTTCATGTGTGATTTTTTTAAAAATGGACTATTACTAGAAAGTTATGTTACATTAACTCTCTAATAATCTTATCATTATTATATCTTATAATACGCTTAACAATTTGGTTTTGGTAAATACCCCCACACCTTCCAACTTAGTCACACAAAATATGACAATAGATATAAGTTTAGGAATCTTCTATTATTTATAAGGAAATATGTCAATAATACTTAAATGCATCCACAATATATTAACAAAAATTATAGATTAGTAATATGGAATATTTATATACCTTAACAAAATTTACACGCTTATATATTAGATAAATTTATTTCGATGTAAATTTTTAAAATTATATTGTTTATAAAAAAATTGTTTAAAAATTCTTTTTTTTAAAAAAATTATTTATAATATTAATTTATGAAGCTATAAGTTTAGTTTTTAGCAAAAATTTCTTCGAAGTTTATATTATCTTTGCAAATTAAAATACACTAATATTTAATCAAGTTCTATTTATATTACTTTATCTAAAAATGAAATACTAATCTAACGAACAATAAAATATAGAAGAAAAAACAAACACATGTTTGAAAAATATGTATTATATAGAAAATTTGAAACAATCTATTTGATTAAAACACTCATTATATAATATTATTAGGTTTGAAAAATATTTACTATACATATCGTAAATATGTGATTAATATAATATATATCAATTAACAAGTGAAAAAAATTGTTTATATAATAATTAACTATAAACGAAAACAAAGCGCGATTGCGCGGCTCAAAATCTAGTTACTTATTTAAAAACTTGAATTCGTAAATGAGCCAACGGACAGAGACATAATAAGTCTCTCAAATGTTTCCAGCCCATTAAAGATTTGGGGTTTTAACTTTCTACTACGAAAAATGATGATTAATATTTGAAGCTTATGTTGCTGTTTAATTAAGCTCAATACATGGTTTCCTTCTTCATTTCTTTCCTGAAAGTTTCTGCGATTAAACGTATCTCCAATGGCGGAGAAAGCCCAGAAAACACTCATCCTCTTAGCGAATTTAATCAAAGTTCCTCCACTAAAAGCCTTCTCTCTCCTGAACTCATCAAATCTCCACGGATTTCAACACACACACGAATCATTCTCAGTCCTCCTTCACCTCCTCCAACTGCCACACGCTCAATCTCTTCTCCTTCAAGTAATCACCGGAAGAATCCACTCCCAATCCTTCACTCCTTCCTCTCTCTTACATTACTTAACACAGTCAGAAACTTCAAAACCCAAGTCTCGGCTCTACGAAATAATCATCAACACCTACATCCAATCCCAATCCCTAGACTCCGCGATCTCCTACTTCAACGAGATGATCGAAAAGGGTCTTGTCCCCGGATCGAATTGCTTCAACAATCTCTTGACTTTCGTTGCTGGGTCGTCTTCTTTCGACGAGTTCTGGGCTTTCTTCAACGAGAGCAAGAGCAGAGTTGATTTTGATGTGTACAGCTTCGGGATCGCGATCAAAGCCTGTTGCGAAGCTGGTGAAATCGACAAGAGTTTCCACCTTCTTGCTGCGTTAAGAGCAGATGGGTTTTCACCAAACGTTGTTATCTACACTACTTTGATCGATGGGTGTTGCAAGAGAGGAGAGATCGAAAAGGCGAAGGCTTTGTTTTCTGAAATGGAGAGGATCGGATTAGTAGCTAATGAGCGTACTTACACGGTTTTGATTCACGGGTTGTTCAGAAATGGGTTGACGAAACAAGGGTTTGAGATGTACGAGAAGATGAAGGAGGATGGGGTTTTACCTAATCTCTATACTTACAACTGTGTGATGAACCAGCATTGCAAAGATGGGAGAACGAAAGACGCGTTCAACGTGTTCGACGAAATGCGTGAGAGAGGGGTTTCGTGTAATGTTGTTACTTATAATACTTTAATCGGGGGGTTGTGTAGAGAGATGAATGCGGGTGAAGCTTGTAGGTTGATGGATCAGATGAAGAGCGATGGGATCAACCCGAACTTGATTACTTACAACACTTTGATTGATGGGTTTTGCAACGTGGGGAAGTTAGGCAAAGCGTTGAGTTTATGTAGAGATTTGAAGTCTAGAGGTATGTCTCTGTCTGTAGTCACGTATAACATTCTAGTTTCTGGGTTTTGTAAGAAAGGAGATACTTCAGGAGCAGCTAAGATTGTTAAGGAGATGGAAGAGAGAGGGATTAAACCGTCCAAAGTTACATACACCATTCTTATCGATACATTTGCTCGTTCTGATAACATGGAGAGAGCGATTCAGCTTCGAGTGTCGATGGAGAATTTAGGATTAGTTCCGGATGTTCATACCTACAGTGTGTTGATTCACGGGTTTTGCATCAAAGGTCAGATGAATGAAGCGTCGAGGCTGTTTAGGGCGATGGTTGAGAAGAAGTTAGAACCTAACGAGGTTATATACAATACGATGATTCTTGGGTATTGCAAGGAAGGTAGTTCTTATAGAGCGTTGAGATTGCTTAGAGAGATGGGAGATAAAGAGTTGGCTCCTAACGTTGCTAGCTATAGTTATTTGATTGAAGTTCTTTGTAAAGAAAGAAAATTGAAAGAAGCTGAGGATTTGGTTGAGAAGATGATTGATTCGGGGATGGATCCATCTGCTTCAGTATGTAATATGATCTATAGAGCCCAAAATGATTCGCTTGTAGCTCAAACAAATGATAAGAGCAGTTTCAGTGCAACTTAAAATCACTTATTTTATTTTGGTGCTCTTACCCTGACAAACTCTGGTCCTTTTTCACTCATTTTGTTTTCGCCTTTTGGGAAATAGTCACTTAGGTACGGTCTTCCTCTAAAATAAAAATGCTCAAGTCTATGAGTGAAAAGTTATTCCAAATTATTTCATCCCACGAAATTATTCAAAACTTTCTCACATTATGTAACTTTAATAAATTATTCTAGATATTCACAGTTTTGATATTATCACTAGGCATGGGCATTCGGGATCCCAATCGGGTTTCGCTTTTGTCCAATCGAGTTTCGACTTTGTCGGTTTATCAAAATCAGCTCATTCGGATTATATGAAAATTCGGTTCGGGACCGGTTCGGATTCTATCGGGTTCGGATCAGGGTTAATAAATCTTTAGAGAACTGGTACAACTCGATATAATTTCGGGTATGGGTTCTAATCGGTTATTCGATTTAAAAGTACCAGAGTTTTGTACCTATTTTGTAACCAAAATATAAGTAAATTAGTTCTTCGGTTTTAAAGTATTTGACTTGTACATATTTTGTAACCAAAACATAAGTAAAATCGATTCAAAAATAAGAAAAGAGCATCGTGATCATTCAAAATCAAACGAAAGGTAAACCTAGTTATTGATAAAAAGAAAACCAAATAAATGAAAGCATAAAACAAAAAAAAAATCTCAAAAAATGAGAAACATTATTCATTGAAAACAAAAGCAAAATCTAAAAGTTTCAATTTTTAGTCGCCACCTTCAACTATCAACCTTAATGTAAGAGATAATTATTTTAGATGTTCAATAATATCTTAGTGTATTTTGGATACATATTAGGAATTGAGAACATGTTTGGTACAAGTTTTTTATGGAATTTTGAATGTTTCGAGTTTTTTCGGGTTCAGTTCGGATGATACCCATAAACCAAAATACCATAAAATAAGATCTATTTGGTATTTAATCGGAGGGCTTTTTGCAGAATTGACCTGAAACTTGAAGTCAACCACAAAACTAACCTCCTTTTTTTTTGGAATTTTATTTTGCCCAATTCACCCCACAAGTTCATATAATTCACGAAAATGGCATCAATTTTTTTTTTTTTCGAAAATAACATATTTACTCTCTCACCCTCATCATCTTCAAGTAATTACAAGATTGCCATTGTCATCAATACTCCAACAACCATGAACAACCAATTTGAAGCTCTTAATGCCTCCAAATTCCATTTACCCTTCTTCTTTCTCTATTCTCATGAACTAAACAACACATTACAACACATATCTCTCACTTTCTCTCCACAATGAGCTAAAAAAAACCCAAGATTTTGATTCTACATTTTTTAGGGTTCATATAGTCAAAGAAATTAAAGATTCAAGGTGAATTACCTTTGTTTGAGCTCCTGAGTGCTTGATTCTACATTTTCTAGGGTTCATATAGTCAAAGAAAGTGCTCTCACCAATTGAAGGTATGAAATCGAGTTATTTTTTGCGATTTGTTCGTCCAGACGACTGAAATTTCAGTCGTCTGCTTTCGTCCAGTCAACGCAGAAGTTATATTTGCAATTGACTTTGCAATTTGTTTCCAGAGACGACTGAAATTTCAGTCGTCTGCTTTATTTTGGCTACAAAAAAATATCTTAAGAATCTAGACGACTGATATTTCAGTCGTCGTATGTTAGTTTTGCATTTGACT